GTTCAGTTAGTATCGTTCCGAAAAGTATTCGATAGATGGGAAATTAGGTTGCAGCGACGCCGGCGCCAATTCTGAACAGAAAAGAGTAAAAGCGGCGAAAAGTGTGTTTCCACTGACTTGTTTATGCCCGTAGCGGCGGCCACTTGAGGCTGTTGGAAAATGCCTCACTTTCCCTCCCCTTGTCCCAGTAATGTGCAGCGTTTGATTGACTGACGAGCGAGCTGGTTGAATGATTGTCTGCTGCACATATTGATTTGCATCCAGTGGATGATTGCCCATTTGCCGTAATTTGCCCTACACAATGCCATTATTTATTTGATTGATATGCAATATATATATCTAGCCAATTTGTAAGGCATCGTATATGTGTCGTCCGCATATCTGTATTTATATATAGCGTAGATATTTTAAAATTATTTGCCTTGGCTTCTCGCCATTTGTTTGCCGCTAATTTGACTGTCAATCAATCGACGACTGCCATGGGTTTTTTTCAGCGATCCATAAATATTTTTCCGTTTGTAAATTCAACGTATATAAATACAAACATTCGCCATTTGTTTGATATAAATTTGCTGACGTTCGGTGTTTGATTTCATTTATGCATAAATATTGGGTATTAAGAGGAGAATATTACCACTTTTTATAGTTGACCCTGGATTCCCGCACATAAAATAAATTCCAGGTTTCTCTGCATGAAATGAATCACTTTGTTTTATATATTGTTTACACATCAAATATTTATTGATTATATATTAAATTTGTATTCACAGTCAATTAAAGTGTTAATAGTTTTTCGTTAGACTTGGCAATTTAATTTATAAAATATTTTTTGTTATTTCTCTCTCTCTCTAGTTGCCCCCAAAAACTGTAATAAAAGAAATATAAATATTTACTTTACGTCAATTTCAATCAATTTCGGCCAGGCCACTTTATGCATCAATTTTTCATTGAATTTCTGAGTCTTATATTTATAATAAATTCTATACGCATTTCCCAGGGAGAGTGTAGGGCTCAAATTAATTGTCGACAAAAAAAACAACTAAGGAGATGCAGAAAATATTTCTTAACAAATTCCCCTGGAGCAGGAAACAATGGTTTTATTTAACTTGGTCCAGGCCATCTGAATTGGGAATATGCCATAAATTTGCAGGAAAATGAAAACGGAGCCAAGAAGAATACGATTTTGCTGTGTGTAAATATATTTTCGCCTGTCTTCATTTTTTGGCCCGAAACATCGTCATCGTCGCCGTAGTCATCATCATCATCTCTTGGCCATCATTTATTCATGACAATTTTTGCTTCTCGCAGCTGCAGCCTGGAAATGAAAATGGAGTCACAGCTATGCCGAGTGCTTTGAGGTGAATTTTCCTGCAAATGAAAAGCCCTCTCATCGATAATGCAGGCGAGAAACCACAAGAAAAGTGGGCTAGAGGAAATGTAAAGCAATTTTCAACCCATAAATGAATGAGGAATTTCTTTATTAACCCAGACAAATATTCTGGATTCCCATCCCAAACTTGATGCGTATTTTCCATAACTCTAGCCAGGTTGGCTCATTGAAAACAGAACGGGAAACCCCCAAAGTTTCCCAAAAACCGTGCAAATGAGTTGGCCACAAAATGTCAGTTACAGATACCTCGCCCGGTTTTCCGTTTTCCCCCTTTTTTTCGAACCACAAACGCGTCGAAAATGTATTTTCCGGGGAAGGGAGCGAGCAAGAGTTGACGGAAGTTTTCGTTTTCTTTTTTTTTTCATTTTGTGCAAATAAAATCAATCAATTTTCGGTCTGGAAAGTGCCATTGGAAGCCAACAGCCAAAGCAGCAGTCTAAGTGCCAGTCCGACACTGAAATCTATTTGCTGAGGTGTTGACAAAAAGTGTGTAGCCAGGGGATGGAAAATGGTTCAAGTACTAAGGGGTTGTACGCACTAAAGTCTAGTGATTGAATAGGTAACTAAACAGTTTAGGGGCTTTACTGCTTAGTATTTAAAAATTATCTAACGAAGTAAGCAACTCAATAAAATCATGTAGGAAAAAGTATATAAAATGTGCCCAAAAACCGATTTTCATAGAATTCAAACGCGGCTCATAAAATTCAAGACCCAGACTCCTTAATAAGTAATCGATTTCCAGAGCAGACAAATCCACTTTTGAGTTCGGTTTCCTAATTAATAGAATCAACTAGAGACGCAAGCTCTCGAGTGCTGAATGATTTAGCAGCCGCTCATTCCGATTTTTTCGTTTTCGGAAGGGAAAGCGACGGGGAATTTTCATTAACAGAAACCGCAACGAATGCAACTTGGAGTGGGAATGGGAACACACAATTTTCGAGCCCTGTGTCGATTTCTGTGTAATGCCCGAAAATAAAAATCAATCAACACGTTCGCTTAATAGACCATCGGCTCTCGTTCCGTCGCAGATGTAAATGTATCTGCAAGATACATTTTCGAGTGTTTCCAAAGTATAAGTATTGCACAAAGACAAATTGCTTTTGTCTCTAATTTTAACACGACTCGTCTTCATTTTTTGTTGCTGTTGTGCTTTAATTTGTTTGCCGTGGGAGTGAAAAAATGTTCACACGGTTAAGGGTTTTCGTCTACGCTTTTTTTTATCTCCTTGAGTTCTGTTTGGAATTGATTGGCGCACGTTTTGCGCGTGGCTAAGCAAAAAAGCATAAAAAACAAGCTAACCAAAACCAGACAGATGGTAATGATTGAAAGATGCGACTAGGAGATACTTGGTGCTGACTTATTTTGAATTTTAAAAATATATTTATAATAATAAAGATGTTCTCTGAAGTTAATTGTTTCCTAAACTTTATATAAGAATAATTGTTTGTAATATTTATATTCAAATAGTAAAACCTGCAGATCCGCGTAGAAAACACAAATCCTATATACCCTTCTTGCCTACCTTGTTCGAACATAAAAAGTTTACCCAATAACCAAACAACAAGCGAGAGGAAAAGTAAAACATTTTTTTATGGGGGCTCACGAAAAATGCATTCTGAAAAATTTCACATTTACATTTGGGTTTTTCACTGCTCTGCTTTATCTTCTTCGGGTTGCTGGCTCAATCTTTATTGAACGTCTGTGCGGAGTCTCCTACTTCTCGCTGTTATTATTATTTTTTTCTGTTTTTTTTTTGGGTAAGCAGCACTTTGCGGGTGCTTAAAACAGCTGACAGGCCCCACTGACAGATTGATGTATGTTGATGCTCCCTGCGCGCTCCCTTTTTCCCCTGCTGAATCTTTTCCACACTCTTAATGAAAATATTTCTGTTTGTGCTATTTTCATTTGACTTTGCGGCCTGTTCGAAGATTTATGTCTTTGCTGGGATTTTTCGCCCGTCTTTAACCTGAGTTAATTTTTATTGGAGAGCTAATAGGGCACGCACATCGTAGTCCCTTAAATCGTTGACAATTGGACTCAGTTTTTGGATGTGTATATGCATTTCCATTTTGGTGGCTCTTCTCTATTCGATGTTTAACAAATTTTTGGAGTTGTTTTGCTGACAAAAAGGTCAGATTCTGTGTTACAAGGTAGCTTTAAGTGGGAGGAGAGGAGGAGAATCCTCCCTCAAGAGCGATCAACGTCAGAGGATTAAGCTCTATTTTTCTGTTTAATTTTTTAGGAAAACAAATCCAGATTACGAGTATATGCAGGAGTTTATGGGTGACAAGGATGTACTAAAATAAAAATATAAATTAAATATGTAAAGAGGTGACTCTCACTTTATATTATAGTATAGTTTTCAGTATTTAAATAAATATTTAAATTCACCATCTTTTTTTTCCAAAATAAAAAGGATTTTAGTAAAATATTTGAACACAACAAAATACATTTGATTATACATTTTAGAACTGAAATATTTCAAGAACATTGTTCATATTGATCTTTTTGCTTGACCATCATATAAAAATATTTAAAATAATATACAATTACCACAAAGATGATTAAATTATTTGTGTTTACTCTGCTATACAAATTCTAAAATCATAGTTTGAAATATTTTACTAAAACTTCAAACAAAACCTTTCTGTTGTCAAAACTTTCTTATCTACAGGGAAATGTAAATTCGAACCCGATCGACTCAAACTATTTTCCAATCACAGCTGAACTCGCTGAGATTAAACCATTTGGACAGCTGTAAATTTATTCAAGTCCGTTGCCAGTCCTTTGATATATTCCCGCCAAGGATTTGGCAAATTTTAAACCCATTTTCGCTCACCCTTTGCGACTTTAAACCGAAAAGCAAAAACTTGCCACCGTATAAACAAATATGCCAAATGCAACACACCGCAAAAAAATGTGTGGAAAATCTCACGCTGTCTATCTCTCTCTCTTTTGGCCAAAACAAAAAAACAAAACGCAAACAAAGGAAAATGGGGAAAAAAGAATCAGATCCATTTGCTGACCCCAAAAAAAAGGGGCGAAAAAAGGATAGCTCCCCGAGGTGGGCTGCAGCATGTGGGGGCGTGGCGGCTTGCCTTATTGTAGGTATTCGTGTTTATCTTAGTACAAATATTTGTTTATTTATCCAGGCGTTTTTTAGCGCACTTTTTTTCGTACTTTGTGCATAAATATTTCAGCCATAAATATTTGCCCAGTCTGAAATTCTTGGAACAGTGCACCCTAATAATGGTGGTCAATTTGGCAGGAAAAATTATCACTGTGCTTAAATTCTTTAAAGGTATCAAGAGATTTGAAATGTGTTTTTATATTGTCATAATTTTTGACCATCTATTTTGTAATATAAAGGTTTACAAATTATATATTAATTTAGATAGAATTTTGTTTATTTTTATTTATTTTATTCCCAGTGATCTTCAGTTAACCCATATATTAATATTTACATATAAGAAAGCATTCTCTATTTATTTTAAAAATGTTTCCGAAATCTTATTTTAAATAAATTTATTTAATTTTAATTGTCACAGCATAAATTTCACTGTACAAAGTGCTTTTATTGTTTAATTAATCAGGGCTTGCTTACACTTACTTTGGATACTGTGACTTTTTCGGGGTCTAAGGTCCCCTATTAAGATCCGCTCTTATTAACGATGTTTACTTAGGCTCCTGGATAAATGAGCGATTCAGAGGCTAATTAATTGTTAAGAAAACACTAGAGCACTGTTTGTTTTGTTTTAGTATTCTCGAGGGCTGTTTATCAGCTGTTTTCGATCATCTTTCGTTTAAGATTAGTTGAAGCATTACGAAAGTGTTTCGAAAAATGCCATGTTTGTATGTCGCACCAATGCACTTTATTTATTTATTTAGATTTTTATTTAATTTATGTTGACCGGTCACAATGCACACACACTCGCGCCCAGCAACGCACACACACACACACACTCTGTCAGAAGTACCGTTAATCCTAGCTTCCGTGACCTATGATCCTTTAAAATTCACAAATATAGGGATGTAGCATTCGGGATGTTGATTCAAAACTCCAGTTTTCACGTAAAAACCTTTTCAATGTTCACTAGTCACCTTTTGGTCACTGGTACTGGCCATTCACTAGTCACTTGGTTGCCCAGCAGAGCTCCAGACGTCCGATCCGCACGATTTCCCGAAATAAACTGAAATAAACGAACTGGGGTGGCTTTTGATTTTGGCGCTACCGATACTATCGAATAAGGCGAGGAATCGGCCTTCTTGCCCCTTGAACATCTCGAGTTTGACTGAAAATTACTAAAATTTCATGCGTTTCCCCAAGCACGAAACTGAACTGCCGAAGAGCCGAAACCCGATTTAGCAGCATAGAAATAAACGAACGCATAAACGACGGGTAAACGAAGGGCAAACGAAGTAGCACGAAGTCCACCCACGAGCATGAACAGCAGGCGCCATCTGGCTGAATTCGTTGGAAACTCACATGAACTCTTATACTCACTTGTACTATCGGTTCAAAGAGGAGAAACGGTTCGAGTTGCATGGTAGGTTCGAAGCGTTTCCCTGCAACTTCAGTTTTATTTTATTTCCTTTTTTTTTGCCTCGAATAATGCTAAACAGGATACGGATACCTTGGACAAAAACAAAAAATCCTGACGAATGATGGATTGCTAATATGATGGCAAAATGGCTGCAGTTTTAAGAGACTCAAGCGGATTGGCGGTTGGCGGGAAAACTGAGTAAGAGTAGGATTGGTGTAGGTCAGGGAAAATAGGGGAAATGTATACCAATTGCAGGGAAAACATCTGTAAAACTTCAAAAGCCTGTATACGTTTTTTTCAGTAGATTTTTGAAATTGTAAAACAAGAATTTATTGATATTTAATACCTTACTTTGTTATATGTTACTTTGAAGAATAATCTTTATCAATTTATCAATATTAATGCAATAAATATTTGCAAATTTAAAATAAGAACAATGCATTTATCACTTAAATTTTCTTTCTAAATTTATTTTTAAACTTGTCGAATAATGTTTAAACATGTCAAAAATTCGTAGAAAATGTCCTGCGGTTTTATGACCTCTGACTGATAAGAAGGTGCCGTGAATTTTAGCTCACCGTCAGGTAGTCACCTACAGGTAGTTACCTGACATATCGATACAAAAGATAGTACTAGTTGTTTCCCAAAAAATAATGAGATAGATACCTTATTTGTTATTTATAGCTCTCATCCTTTCCGTTGTAAAACTCCCATATTTACACTGATAAGTGCTAGCTTCTACTAATACTGTATTTGAAAATTTAATATATTTTAAAATTACAACTAATAATTCAAAACTAATATCTCAATTCCCAGTATCTATACAAATTATTTAAAAATTACCCTTAGCATTATAAGTTTCCATTTAACCCAATTAAGGCGTTTCTTAAATTCCAAAAAGGCACCTTTGACACCTAGTAAATGGTGGCTTATAAATACCCGGGACCCCACCCACCACATCTGGGCATTAACTCGGCCACTTTATGGAGCACCTTCGCATCCTGTCCCCGAGAAACTAATGCGATTGCCATCTTGCCCCCGGAAAATGTTCCCGTCGAGATTTTTGCCGCAGGAAAATCTCCTGACCATATCTGCTTATAATGTAAATAGCGGCACGCCCATAAAACAATTGCCCCGACTTACAAATAACCCCAGAAAGAGGCAGCAACAAATTTAACACTTAATTGTATTAACAGGCCCGGGCCGAGCCGAACGCACTATGGTCCAGCCGACCACTTTTTTTGGCCAAAATTAATAACTTCGTCAATTTAAGAGATATCAACTTGAAACTTTACCAATCGTAAAATTATACTTATAGGATGATACTGGATCAAAATTATCCGGATCAGGAAACTATATCCTATAGCTTTCATAGGAACGACTTAGAAATTTTTAAGATAAATTCACAAAACTTCGGTTACTTCAAGATTAAGTCATTTTAACTACATTTTAAAAATTTTATAGGAATCGGATGACGAATTCCTATATTTTACATAGAAAGAATCGGAAAATTGTCCTCTTTTTCCTTACAATTGCATGAAAAGTGGGTTATAAAATCTTTCTACGATTCTATATTTTTTTTTTACATTGTATTTTATTAGAATAACTATATTTGATACATTTTGTTGGATATTTATTAGTTTGCATGAGTATAAAGACGTTACTTCAGCGTTTTAATTGACATTTTCATACAAAATATAGGCATCTTTTATTGCAAATTTAAAGAAATGTGGTCAAATGTGGCATTACTCACTATATGCAAATAAACAAGAATTAATTACTCTACAACACATAATAGGTTTCAAGGTTGGACTAGGCTGGACTCACTTTAAAAAACCTTTTTGAAAATTACATTTAAAATAAAATTTTAATATTTTAGATGATAGACTTTAACACCAAATTAAAAAGACATCACAACGACTTAAAACATTTGACTATATAAAACATGTAGTACAAATCCCACTGATTCAAATTCAAGTTAAAAAATTTAACAATTATTGTTTTTTCCATGACTTTTTTTAATTTAAGAATTGTATTAATTTTCGCACTTATAGTCTTGCCGTTCGCTCGTGTGCAATCAGCTGACTTTGGAAGACTCTTGTGCGAGAGTGGCGCCACCTGGGAAGATTTCGAGAATGGCACGCTGATGGTCACTCTATTTCTAATTAATAGAGACCAAAATAACTTTATTTGGTAAACTTTCAAAAAATGGGTTTTGGCCAAATAAAGTGGTCGACTGGACCATAGTGGAACGAGACGTAGGGAGTGTGGGTAATCCCGGGCAAAACCAAATCCGGACGCGTGTCCAGTTTGTTGTTGTTTGCTTAGACAGTTTAGGGCCCACACAAAGGACCAATACAAAAAGGGGGCAGGCAAGGAAGGCCAAGAAAACCCAAAGAAAACAACTGCGGGGGTGGGAGCAATTCCGAGGAGAAAGCGCGGCAGGGAGGCCCTGTTTGATTGATGATTTTATGACATTGTTTACTCAAGTGATGATGAGAAGAGTAAGGAGATAGCCGGCCAAGGGGCCGGCCGACCTGCCGACCGGCCATCCTTTGTGTCCTTTCAAGCCGGTGTCGAGTGAGTCCCCCGCCCAATATTTCTCCCTTTTTTATGGCTCTTCCCCGGAATGCTATCAATCTTTTGCTTATTAGGGATAATATTACAATTACTTGTAAGTGAGATAAGCCCCAGGGCAGCCCCGACCGAGTGTCCTCAGTTCCCAGTCGGAGTTAGGGCTTATCCTCCTTGGGTTAAGTGTTCAAGTGGTCCCAGTCTTTGATCTCGGGATCTGCGAGTTAGAGTGAGAGTGTGTTGTGTAAACAGATATCGGTTCAAGTGAAGAAGCCAAGTGATTGACAAGACGGAGAGTGGAAAGTGTCTTCCAGAAATGCAGAAATGCTCACGAGGAAGCATCGAGATGAGGCGCCTGTGCCGAGCATTCCGACTAAGACATGCCGCCAGCAAGATCTGATTACATTCTAGGGCTCTATGGTAAGTAGTAATTATTATATGATGAAAAAACCAGACTAATACAAGCTAAATTTCTATTTAAAGTCTAGTGATAAATAAACTTTGCCATTAAAAAAATTCAAGCCCGCATTTATCTTTCCATCTTTGAGTTGGCTAATTAATTCTTTCATTTTCTTTGCTTCTTCCTTAGCGAAAAATAAAATGAACTACTCCACCTTTTTGAGCTCTCCTCTCACCTGTCCCATCTCCGGCTCAACCTGTTTCAATTTAGTCATAAACTCGGGCATATATAGCGCTACTCTATATATATATATGAATGTATATGTACCTGAAGCCAAGAACTCCCGCAGGTCTCTGTTCGGTTCGGTGTTGTGTTTTGTGTTCCGTCGGTTTGGTCGGGAAGCCAGCTGGTTCCATGGTCACTGCACTGCCGCATGTCCTTTTTTCCTTTTGTCCTGGCCTGGTTTGATGATAAATTAGGCAGAAGGACGGACGGAAGGAGTAGTGGGGCTGAGGGAGGACAGACAGCATTTGCGGCTCTTTAGTTGGCCTCACCGGTATTTACCTTTCCTTCGCCCGCTTTCTTTGGCGTTCCCTTCGTTTTTTATTGCTTTATTATGGCCTTCCAGCGAAAGTCCTGTCTTGTGCCATGGATCTATATGGCAAGGCTTATATGTGTTTGCGTTTGTCTGTCTGTGAGCCGATGAGTGTTTACATCACCAGTTAATGGCTCGGTAATTGCTGCAGGAATTTGTCAGCCAAATGTTTGCCAAGCTGTGGTTATATTTAACTTTGTGATTGCTTTGGCTTTTTGAAAAATATAAATTAAATTTATTTGAGAAAGAGACATTTTATATTTAATTAAACTCTTGTACACTTGTTTTTGTGTGACTTCGATTTATATTTCCATTTATTCAAGCAAAGGATCATTGATCTCTTTGACACGTGTCCATGGAGTATCCCCCACTCGTCGTTATGCATTTTCCACCATCTGCTCTTTTCCCCAACAATAAAAATATAAAAACCAGAAAATAATAAAAAAAATAGGATCAACCTTGAACCGCAGAACAATAAAAATTAAAACACGTTTCCGATCCGTGGCAGGACCGCTTCTTTTCCGACAAGGGGATGGATTTGCTATTTGAACACATGTCAAGCTGTCAATGTTTATCTATTTCGGAGGGGGGAAAGGTGCCTATCGCGGCTGGCTGTCTCCCTTCCTCGGACTCGCACTCGCACTCAGCACGTGAAGTGGCAGCCGTGAATTGGGATTATCGGGCGTCTTGTTGATTTATGGCCAGCAAAACACACAAAATGTACCAAAATTCGAGTCAAAATGTGATTGAAAACTGATAAGCCACACAGGACTGCCTTGGGGAGGACTTGCAAGGGGGTTGCAAGGATGGACATGGCCGTAAAAGGGGGGTTATTAGTGTAACTGTCAGCCGGGTAAAAGTGTTGAGTGTACGTCCATCAAACCTGGTCTGCGGTCAGTGGGCTGGGGACTGGGATTGGTACTGAAACAGAGAATGGGTTTTGAGCGACATTTCCTTGAGTTTGTCATGTTTTGTTGGCACTGTACACTGGGCAAAGGTTAGATTCGTTAGAGAAATAGAATTAAATATATCTTAGATGAAGATATTGCATTATTTTGGGATATAATTTTTTATATAAATTCTTTTAAACAATTTCAGCCATTAACCTTGTCTAAAAATCCTTTCTTCAATTAAAGTATATCAATAGGAAATATTACTTTCTCCC